CAAGGCTGCCCATTCCTACTCTTTGATAAAACCAGCACTGTAAAAACCTACCGTGAATTAATTTTGGTATGGGTAGCGAATGTCTTATAGGACTATATTCTAGGTCTCGGCAAATGATGGGAGTCTTTGTCTTATCAGTTTGTAGACTCTGGCCTACTAATAAGGACAAAAGTAGATGCTAGAAATAAATGAGTAAGAAGACCCGCTGTTCCCACAGCTCAACTTTCTCAAGGCTCTGCTGATTGGAAGGCAGATGATGTCCTTGAGCGACTCTGCAACCCAGATAAGGCTGTCTAAGACAAAGGGACTGTCCCTGCTTTGACAAATGGGACTGACCTTCCAGTCCTGGTACAACATTCTGGTTTCAACAAAGTCTGTATCCGGTGGGAGATGATATATGGCTGGAGGTATGTAAATCCACAGGCAGGTGTTAACTGACTTGTTACGCAATTAACCCACAACTCACAGGCATGTCTAAGAAGGGAAGTTTGCCATCTCTCTGGCTTTTTAGTTAAGTGGTTGTATTAAGAAACACTTCTGGAAAAGATTCATTAGTTGTCAATTCTGAGTTTCAGTCTGAATTGAGGCTCTGAATTCAACCTCAAATAACACTTGTCTAAACATAAGATGAGTCAATTAGTAGAAATGGAAGGATAGCAAGCTTGCATGCATGTTTTCAGTGGCACCACCTCCAGCAGCCAGAGAAGGTAACTGCGGAAACATCTTTACTCTTCCAGGCCGGAAGTGAAGTGGCAACCGAGGAATGAAATTTCACATTTAATTTGAGCCACAGGAGGAAAAGACATCTTATATTATTTGGTTCTCTCTCCACAGTTGCAGATGGGCTCTTGCCTTCCCATCTATTATCTTTCAGTCCGATCCTGTGTGTCAGCTTGGTTCTACTCTCTGAAGCGGATCCAAATTCCTGTACTTTTCCAAGTTTGCAATTCAATGTCATTCTATGTTCAGATACTTGAAAATTTAAGCTACTAATTGAAATTTTGATTCAATTTGTTAAAATGCAGACCTGGGAGGGCATGATAATTATCTTCAAATAGTTGAAGGTCTGTCATGGGAAAGACGAAGAACATTGTTCTGGAAGGGTGTGGAACAGGGGACAGATGCTGCACAGGGAGGTTTTAATTCATTATGAAAATGAATTGTTTATCAATCAAGGAATAGCAAAATGGGTTATCCCAGGGTAGTAGGTTTCTCACATGAGGGTAATTTCTGCAGTTGCCAAGGACTAAAGACTGGGCAGTCATTAACGCCACTCTCCAATACCTGGTCCTCTCCTCATGTTTGTTACTTAGAGGACTGACATTCCTGGCCCCCTGTGGTCAGTGACCATGTGACTATTCTGGCTAGTGAGTCCAGCCCATAATATTTTTTAAAAAGAATTATGTTATTTAACATTATTTGTCATTTTAAAATTTGACGAAAGAGAGACAGAGAGAGGGGGAAAGAAAGCAAGCATCCACAACCAAGACTCAAACCACGGTCGGCCACGTGGGAGTCCAGTGCCCTTAAACACCACACTACCTGCTGATCCCACAGCCCACAATCTTAAGAATTAATTTTTTCCCTTTGGAACATCCAGTGTCATGGTGGTTAAGGCACTGGATCCCATATGGGCAACTGCAGAGTTCGAGTCCTAGACTTGTGGCTTGAAAAAATATGCCAGGCATGTGTGCAAGTATGCTCAAACCCCCCAAAGGAGAGAGAGATGGAGGAGGAAGGGTTGCAGCATGACCAAGGCCCATGGGGGGCTTTCTTACTTTCCCTCTCTGACTCTCTTTCTGGAGAGAACTTGCACCCTCTGGTGAGCATATGTGCCCTCTGGCAAATTTTTAAACAATGTTTTTTCTTTGTTCATGACGCAACGTATGTATGTGAGGGTGTAAAAGAGAGAAAAATGAGCACCCTCCACAAGGTCTGTTCACACCCCAATCCCTCCCTTGAACCCTCCAGCCCATAGGATCTTGGGCATGTTTCGGGCTGACTGGGCTATGGATTCAAACTGCAGTTGCCATTTGAGATCTGGCTTAAGCAGGGCATTACCACTGTGCTATGGAGCCCGCCTGGCCCTTATTTATTAATAGCTGGTATGAGACAGGAATTTCCCTTCCCTGCCGAGGTAACAAAAGAAGCAGAGATGTAGACCAAATTTCTACCATCCAGGCTCCCAGGGAATAACAACAAGCAGAGACCCCTGCCATCCTTCACTGGACACATAATGCGAGAGAGAGAGAGAGAGAGAGAGAGAGAGAGAGAAAGGGAGGGAGGGAGGGAGAGAGAGAGGAAAAGGAGACTTTATCATATTAAGTCACCAGAGCATAACCTCACCCATACTGAACACAGATTTTGCTCAGTTATCCTCAGGCAGCAATAAATTCAGGAAGGCAGAGCCCTCCCCCAGCCTCAGGGTTTGGAATGTGATTGGTCACAGCCAGTTATGACATTTGCATATCCCTTTTTCAGAGATCTCCTCTCCCCAGGGCAGGCCATGTGACTAAATTCTGGCTGAGGAGACTATAGGGCAATCTTGAATAAGGGAGCCTTTGAAAAAGATGTTCCTTCTTGATAAAAGGAGAGAAAAGAGCAAGGAGGGGAATTATTTTCCCCCTGCTTATGATTATTTTATGTGAGTGAGATTATGATGCTTAAAGAGGGAAAGACAGAGTCTATTTCACACAGAAAAGAAGTGGGAAACTTGCAGAAGTCATTATTCCAGGAGGCGGCGCAGAGGGAACTGCCTGAAGGGGGGTTTTTACTCCCTAAGTCCACGTCTCTCCAATTCACGCATCCACCTGCACGTCTCATAGGCCACTCTAACTCCTCGACCGTGTGTCTCATAGAGTCATTGTCTCAGCTGAAGGAACCATAGTTCTCCTGGGTGCCCAGACTAATTAACTTTTACCTTTGCCTCTTGCTCATCGAGTCCATAATGTTTCCCACCCTCCTCTCCCCTCTTCCCTGTCTTCTCTTCAAAGACTGCTTACCTAACTAGAGGGCCTCAGGCCTGGCTCCCCTCCAGCTGAGGTCCCAGTTACAGCCAAGGAGCCTTTCCCAAACTAAGAATGATCATATCAGCCTCACACCTAAAACAGCTTAAATGGTTTCCCTATATTGGATTTTGATGAAATCCCAAATCATTGGCAAGATTACTTTTCATAGATTGACTCTAGCTGTCACAGCCTCCATGTTGGCCACACCCACTTGTCACTTCTGCTCCGTTGTTACCTGCTTGGCCCACAGGTCACAAATGCTGCATGCTCTCACCCTTCCCTGCCCCTCGCACAAGCTAACCCACTTTCCCGGAATAATCCATTCTTTTCCTCTCCCCTTTTTTTGCCTGTGAAACTCCTCAGCCTCCTTAAGGCTTTTTTAGTTACTTTCTTCTCATGGGAGTCTTCCCTTTCTTTCCCAATGCTGGTTGGCTGCCCCTCTACGCAAGAATCACTCTCTTTTTCCGCTTGGGTCGTCAGAAAAGTCATGACACATTTTTGCATGGAAAAATATAGAAAATACGTCATGACTTTTCCAATGACCCAATACTTTTTTTTTTTTTTTTCAAACTGTGGAATTGTAATTTTGTATCCATCCCCTAAGCCCTAAGTGTCCCACTAGATTGTAATCCCTGGAGGTGACGATTACCCTTTCCATTTTTGGCACACTGTCTGGGATGTTTTAGGTACCCCACAAAGGATTGTGCGTGCTTGTCATTATATGCCTGTAGGCAGAAGTATCTTAGCACATGGGTCTGAGAATCCTGCTGCAGTGATGAGCCAGCAGTGGATGGCAGGAGACAGGGATGATGGAGAATAGACATCTTAGGTTAGACAAGGCTCTGGGTCTGAAAGTGTCATCCAGACAAACTGTGTGTGTGTGTGAAGGAGCCAGAAGTTAGAACAAGAGCAAGGATAGAAGCTCAAAAGGCATGATCAGGGCCTGGGAAGCCTTCCAGCTGGACAGACTCTGGGCAAAGGCTCTGGGAGGAGAGAACACCCAGCTTGAGGGCAAAGGCCTAAAGCAAAGGCTGTCGCTGAGCACAGAGTTGGCAGGGGCTTGCCTTCTCTCAGGCAGAAGGAACTTAGGTGACCCGAGAGAGACACGAGGTGCGGCAGACACAGAAACCTGTGTTAGATTGGCCAAGGCTGGCTCTGCCACCATGCCCACAGCTGGGGGAGGACCTGCCCACATAGACAGTGTACCCCAAGACTCTTCACTCTGTAGAAGATGAAATCTTCTGTTCTAAGCAGGCAGACGTGGGAGGCAGAGCCTGGCTCACGATGAGGGGGAGCAACAGAGCTGTGGTCCCTGGCTTTGCTGCTGAGAGGAGCAATGGTTACGATCGTCAGCAAATACATGCTGATCTGCCACCAGGCTGTTCCTGGCTTTTACCACAGGTGAGCAACAGTGGTTCAAGTTGGTGACAGATCAATGAACACCCACAGATCTGCGTGAGTTTTTCAATCAAAGGAATGAAAACTGGGTCTTTATTTTGTTTATTTTGGAGAGGTTTTTGCTATAGGGTGTGTGCGTTCACCAGAAAGACAGAGAGAGACAGAGACAGAAAGTGAGAAATCACCCCTCCCCCCACCTTCTGGGGGGATGGCCACGCCGCAGTCACTTCTCCTCCATTCTCCTCTCAGGATCTTGGGCACGCACGCACACGTGCCTGGCGTGAGTTTAAGCCACTGGGTCCAGGACTTGAACTATGGTCGACTACATGGGAGTCCAGTGACATAGCCATTATACCAACTGCTAGTCCTGAAAACTGGGTCTGTTTATAAGAGAAATTTATCAAGTAGTAAGTGTAGATTAAAAAGCCAGAAAAGATACTTTGCAGAGGTCGCATCCTCTAAAATCTTACCCTAGAACCCATGTGCATATCCAGCTGTCTGCAGAACTTTCTAAAAGTCCCCATGAGCTAGTATAGACTTACTTACTGGACTTTTCTTTTCTTTCCTTTTTTCTTTTCTTTTCTTTTTTTTTTTTTAAATATGGGACACTTAAAAACTTTGCGTGTCATCCTTGTTCAGGGGCTATGCTAATCTTCTCTGTATTGTTCCAGTTTTAGTATGTGTGCTGCCGAAGCGAGCACTTTACTGGACTTTTCTAAAAAAAAAAAAAAAAAGAGGTAGCCTAAAAAGTCCATGTATTCCTGCTAAGTTCAGACAACTGGTACCCAAATGATAAGTTAGCATCTTCCAAGAATTATGAGCGTAGAGAAACCTACCCCTTGGCGACCCATCACTCAGGAGACCATGCTGGCCTTTACGGTCAAGTTTCCAGTCTCTTCTATTGCCAGGCCTTTGCTGTCCTCCTCTCCAGATACCAATCACATCTGGATGCCACATGGGTCCATTACTTTACGTTTTATTTTATAGAATGAAACATCCCCTGACCCTACCTCACTTCCTGGCCCTTGGTTGATACTTTCTAGGCATTCCTACTTAGCCCTGCCATTACTTTTTGGTAACAATGAGTTACTCTTCATAGAATCATGGAAATATCCCATGAGTGTCCAGACAGAGAACACACTCCAGATGTGTTTCTTAGGCATAGTTAAGCAAGTCAGTGTTCAAACATCCTCAAATTTAGAATTAAACTTAATACTCTTAGAGTCTTCCTGTCCCCAGGAGAATTTACTTATTTATTTAGGAGAGGTTTTTGCTATAGGGCATATGTGCTCGCAGGAAGACAGAGAGACAGAAAGTGAGCAATCACCCTCCAGGGGGGATGGCCATACTGCGATCCCTTCTCCTCCGTTCTCCTCTCGGGATCTTGGGCACACACGCACACACGCCTGGTGCGAGTTTAAGCTACTGGGTCTGGGACTTGAACCGCGGTCGGCTACATGGGACTTCAGCAATTACGCTAACTGCTAGTCCTGAGAATTCATTTTTCTACAAATATGAATCTAATTATTGTTTTCCTTTGCTTTTTTTAGACATAGTTTTGTTTCTTATGTAGCACATACAGATCGTTTTATTTTCTATTGCCCTTTAGAATTACATGAAATCTACCACACTTCATGAAGATTTTATAACAAATGAGGAAACTTTATAGCAAATAAGGAAAATGTTTACTGACCAGTCATGAGTAGTGACATGATATAGGCTGAGAAGGGCCCAGTAGTGAAACACAAAGTGGTCAACTTCGATTTGCCAAGCATTTACTGTGTACTGATTGGGCACTGCATTGCATTTATAGAAAAGAGCGATATTCAAAAGATGGTAAGAGTGACTAAAACCACAAAACCAAAGTTTGTACCTAACATATCACTCAGATTAAAGGCGATCCCAGCAGGTTTGTCAAAGTGAAGGCCAAGGAGCAACGTTGGGTCAAGGGTGACAGTGCATTGTCAAACTAGATAGTTTTTCTCATCAGTGGGCTACAAGGATGCTGGCCCCTTGATATCAGCACTAATGAAGAGACATACCCCAATCTTGATAAATACTATCTGCTCTGTATTCATCTAATAATCTCACATGTTTTATTTCCTCTAATCCCTGCAACAACCCAATGAGATAAGAACAATGACCAAGCCCATTTCATAGATGAAGAGAATTGAGACACACAGAAGTTGAATGACTTGTCCAGCTAGAAAGAGGCTGAGCTGGGATTGGAACCCAGGCAGTCTGGCTCTATTGCCTGGACACACTATTTCTTCCCTAGACAGGGATGATAACCTTATATTCCTCATTGGACTGTGGTTCATTGACTATTTCTACCTCTAGCAGTTCTTTCGTGACACGTATTGAAGACTGGATTCTAGTTTGCACTGCCCGAATACTCCTGGGCCTGGAGTTTGGAGGACAGCCTTCCTTAGAGGGTGCATAGTGGAGACAGTAAGTTGGCTTGGGAATGAGCCCAGTATAATGGAGTGAATTATTTGAAGCCAGTAGAGACCACAGACCAAACAAAACTCAGGCCTAGTGAGACCACGACACCTAAGCTACTGCTCTCAAGAGTTTCTCTCCCACCCAGGCCTATTCAGCTGGAGACTTTCAGAGTTGTGTTTGATGACACATATATATAAAAAGACCAGTGTTTCCTTACATTTTATTCAGAAAGAGGTGAAAGGAAAAAGTTGGAAACTGAAAAAGGGGTAGTCCTGTACTTGGGGTAGAGCAGCCATAGAGGGGCCAGATTTCCCTTTGTTCACCTCCCACCCCTGTCCTTGTCTTCCCACTTTCCATCGGAGCCTTGAACTTTCTGGGAGCACCCTCCCACTGCATGTTGGCCTGCTGGAATCCCACTCCATTTCTAAGACCAGTTCAAGGTTATGCTTTTCTGGGATGTCTTCCAGGTCCTCCAGCCCCCCTCATCTCTCCATTCTTCAGATCGCTTAGCACGTGGTCAGAAACACAGAGCTCCTGGGAAATTTTCACCCACTGTTGTTACTAAGGCTCCTGCTCTGTGCCAGTAGCGAAAGTGCTAGAAGATAGAGACCATCTCTTGACTTTATCATGCTCCCTCAGTCCCCCACTATAGTGGCCCACAGTCTAATGTCTACAGGGGGATTTTGTTTGTAACCCAGACATTTCAGCACAGGGTTTGTAATCTGTGGATTTAAGGAGGAGGAAATGACAAAAGATAAGCTCAAGAGGAAATAAGGTGGTTTGCTTTGGGAGAAGAGAGATGCTTCCCTAATAAAAGATAGAAAGGTCCAATGGGGTAGGCTTGTGCCCCTGAGATAAGAGAAAAGGTCATTTATTTAAGTGGTAAATGGCTAGAAATGCAGATCAGATTTATAGAGCTTCTACAAATACATAAAAAGTGCTTGCACACAGAGGCATGCATAATAATTCTGAATTGGCTATGAAATTTATCTTCATGAGTAAAGAGAGAAGGGATTGTTGATGCTGTTGTGATTTTTACCCCATCTTTCCAAGGGAGACAGGATTAATACAAGGAGAGATAAATCATGATGCGATTTTTTTTGAATATATGAACAAAGCAAACACAATGAATATTTGATTTCCTCCAACTTCTGCAGGGCTAAATCAATTTGAAGAGATAATGGTTGAGGATTAAGTTATTGGAATATGTGTAACTATAAAGTTTTGAATACAGTTAACTCACAAGTTATTATAATTTCCATGTAACATCTGTTATCATTGAGATAACAGATGTGTTATATATCGTGAAACTAAGGGAAAATTAGATATGCACATGGTTTTCAAAAGAAACCAGACTCATATAAAATTATTTGTGAAACACAACACCTTAAAAATTATTGCAAAGAGTAGACTCCCTGAAAGGGTGTCTCCCAAATGAGGCTACGACACAAATAGTGCTATTAATAGAAAGTCACTTTAAGACATGAGACAAATGAATATTATAAGAACTCTTGCACGTTGTCAAACTAGAGTGAAGAGGAGTTATTATGCTTAAGGACTTAGAAAAATTTAAAGCTATAAAGTGGGAAATAGCAATCAAAAAAGTGGGCCAACTGAAGAACAGTGATTCCTCAACTTTGCCATCTCCCTTCATTATTATTGATTTTATTCTCTTACTAAGGTAACTGAACACAAATTTCTCGTCAACAGTGAGGTATGTTCACCATCTTTTTACTAATCCTATTTTCTTTCTTTCTTTTTTTTTTTTGTAAATTGGTTAAGTATGTCTTTTTTGATTATTTTTAAGTTCACTTATTTATTTCTTCTGAGAGAAAGAGGTACCCCAGCAGGGTCTCCATACCATTGATCCCTATAAACCAGATGTGTTCACGAACCCAGGATCTTCCAAAATGGTACATACATTGCTCACTGCACCACCCTCTGGTCTTCACTCTTCATGTTTTTGGAATGCAGAGTTGAGATATATGCTTTAATGAGAACACACGGAAATGTAGTGAGTAGGGGAGAAGCTCTTCGTTCCTGAGGATTTCTCATAAAATTTAGGAATGTGTAGTCACTTTTCTTGTGTTTGCCCAGCAATGTGCTAGCCTCAAAGCAGAGATTCAGAAACAACTTACTGGCTGCCCAGCAAATGTCATGGTCATTAAGGCACTGGATTCCCACATAGCCTACCACGGTTTGAGTTCTGGTCCTGGCAGATTGAAACCACAATAGATAGGTAGAAAGATGTTTAAAAAAAAGAAAAAGAAACAATTTACTGGTGGGTCTGAATTGCATCCTACTTTGTCCCAAGTACCACCCTTGAGGTACCTTGTGAGGTTTCCGTTGACATTATTATGATTACATTATTAGTGGCATTCAACTAATATTTAATAGGGGTCTGTTGGTACATTTTTATTTTCTTTCTCCACTTGTCCACAGTTATTCTTTTCTTTTTTTTTTGAAAGGCTTGGAGAAATAAATCCCACTGTATTATTATTTATCAAGGTTCATGGTCAGGAAAGAATATCCCAGGACTGTGAGATTGGAGGTGGGGTGGGGGAGATCTAATTAAGCTTGACTCTGGTTTTCAATTCTACTACCGTTGACAGCTTGCTCCTAGGAGATCAAGGTCCCAGTTGGTCTCCACCACAAAAAGGTTTTTAATAAAATATTCAAGATAGCTGAGGACCTTTAGAATGGGTAATTTTATTCAACATACACTATGATCTTCCCGCTGGTTGTGGGCTCTGGACCAATACCCAGGAGCTTCTCTTGGAGTGCACAACTATTATGCATTATGTTAGACTATTCTGTGAAAAGTCAATTTACTCAGAGTCAGATACACCATATTTTAACTTTGAGACTCAAATTGTCTCTAGGGTTTAGTTTGTTGCCATGATTAAATTCCAACTCTTTCGCCAATGCTAGATTTGTTTTTAACTGTTTCGAGGCTTTATTTTTAAAAGACTAATGAATGGTTAAAAGAGAAAGAAAAGCAAAACAAAATTGAAGATTCAGGAAGGATGCTCTGACAGAATGCAGACTTTCATTAAATAATGCCTGTAGTGAGTTTACCTGCCGTTGGCTTTGCCTCTGGTTTCGAGAGCCTGCCTAACCAGGCCTAGGACTTAATGAGGTGGCTCCCTTCAGTGTCTCAGCCACTTAGCTCTCAAAAATCTCTTTCTACAAACCAATTTTTCCCATCCATTACAAAACGAGTGAGAGAAATTGAATGCGTGGGTTGAAATCCCTG